ACGTAAGATGGCGCTGCAATACGACAAAAGCTTATAGCGAAGTAGTAGTACACATACTATTATTTATTCTGTGCTTATAAACAACAAAGTTATTTTTCTTTTATAATTGATTATTTCAGTACAAACATACGTTATAATAATACATAGTAAATTGGTTACGTGAGGATTATTTCTATTTTTTTCAAAAATTGAAAATGATAAGTACTGAAGTTTCCTTATTTGAAAAATTAAAACAGGTGCTATGAATGGGTACTTAGGGGGACTAAGTTTAAAGCAGTTTTAGGTACCTCATTATAATTTAAAAGAGCAATTTAATTAAACCCAACTCAAAACTATTAAAAAAATGCATTGTTGATATGCAGGGGAACTACGTACGTAAAAACTTGTATTTGTAACATTTTGTCAAGTTAAAGGTAGTAGGTTACACCTACTTAGGTCTCAGATCCAACATTAATAGAAAACCCTCAATATTTTATAAAACCGTATAGGCACTTCTAATGTTTATCCCATTTGCTCACAAAGCCCAGTGATGCTGTTGCACATATGGGATAGCCATGCACAAATAATTTGTAGCGGTTATTTTTTTGCGAACGTGTATTAATTTCTAGATGAGATTATTTCTCTACATAGGTAATAATGTTTAAAAATTATCTATGTAGAAAAATAATCTCTATCTAAATTAAGTCCTGGATTATATTTCCATATCTTAATTACAAGAATTTGCATGTCTTGTGAATAAAATGGTCGTTTAAAGAGTGTTTTTAATTTTATTTTTGCATCATCGGAAATGTCAAGTTCACACGTATAAAACTCCCTAATTACTGCGAAAAGGTTTTACATAGAACAGAAAATACAAAAGTGTCGTCTTTGGACAACTATGAGTTGGAATCTTTATTTTTTATTTATCTTTATTTATAAAACAATTTATAACATCATGAAAACTTCCATCAGTAAGTTATAATAACTATTATTCCATCTAAATAACAATTGAAATAACCCTTCTTTAAAAAACATTACCGAAGCTACTTAATATAATAATCCGGGCGAAAAAATCACTCATAAAATAAACAAAAACGTTCTATATATTCTTAATGTAATGTTTTATATGGATATAATTAAATATGTTCATCATGATAATTTTTTTAAATTACATTAAAATTTTTACAATATCGTTTAAAAGTGTTAAGATTAAATTTTACATTTATTAATTAAATGTTTCTTTATTTGTATTTTTTAATAAAATCTTTCTCAAAGATTTAACTTATAAAGTTTTTTTACTAATATCAATATTTAAAACACAACTTTCGTTTCGTTATAAGATCATGTAAAGGAAGAATATTTTTATCTTTTTGCATTATAAATTTTCATAATTAATTAAGATGTAGGAGTGATAAGATTACATTAAGAATAATCTTCATAATATTATTCAACTATGATGAATTGTTTTTGTTTGTCAACTTATCGATAATTAAAAAATTACAAAACCGATAGAGATAGACAAATCAACTAATTTTCACCTTCGCCATTGAAAATATTGTTGCAATTTTATCATTTGATGAAAAAGAAACATCATCAAGTATGACTGCTTTAAAATTGTTTTGAATAACTACTTTTTAAGGGGGAGTCTCATTAATTTTAATGGGTGTCAAACAATAAACTTTAATAGTATACGAAACCGTTCCAACAATAAATAGTAAACACTATCAGTATGATATTTTTTCTCAATCTTTCTTTATTATTCATTAATTGCTAATTCAATGATAGATAATTTCATTGGTACTGGTTGTAATTTTAACTTGGCTTGCTCTTAGGTACCCTGAAATTTAAATACGAGCGCTTATCTATTGAACTACCATGGCTTCTCATAGTTAGAGGAAATTTGATTGTGAAACCGGCAACATGCATTAGGCAGCACGGAGGACTCATTGCAGCTCCAAAAACCCTCTCAGCAATGAAAGGAGTTCTGTGCCCACCAGCGCAGTGGGACGAATAGTAGATTGTTACTTTACTCGTATGAAATATCATGATCCAGACCGATCCCCAAATTTTTGCGCTTATGCTTATCTCAACCTCATCGGTAAAACAAAGATTTTAGTGGCGGGTTTGCGGGTACTTTATAAAGAATAAATCGGCATGACATTGGCTTTGTTTGGCTGCAGCGCTGCTAGTTTCCGGATCGATATGGCCACGGAATAAGTTCTTAGAGAATCTGCGTGTTCATTCATATTTCATATTCATACCCAATTTTAGTTAGTAAAATACCTCCATGATACACGAGAAATTGTTTAGATTTGTGTTTTTTTTTTAAGAATAAATAATGGGAAATTTGTATATATGAATAATATTATTTGAAAATGTGAACTCCGCCAATCGGCAGTGCAGCAACGACTTATGTCCAATTTTTTTACAAATTAAAAATGATAGCAATGCTATAACATTACTCATAATCAATTTAATCACGCATTGTAAGCTGAAATTGTTTGTGTTACGAGTTCACGACAGAAGTCTGATGGCGAATTCGAACCCGTGACCTTTGTTGTCGCGGTCCGCAACCTACCATTAGGCTGCCGTCTTACCGTCTGGAAAAAAGTAAACGGAGTAGAAGCCTATGGCACTAATATCTTACAATATTTTTTTTTTAATTAAACGTTTGAAAAATTACTTTGCCCTTTGTCCTTAAGCCTGTGACCATGCGAAGTGACAAGATCAAAGAGGCCTACTAAATTAATTGTTTTATTGCCTTTCGTAAAGTAGGGTGGATATGATCTACCCGGATAGATTTTATTTAATTTATTTATTTACTTACATCAAATTTTTATTTTTATTTTTTGTAAAATATCAGTGCCATAGGCTTCTACTCCGTTTACATGTTACACCTTTTTTTTCCAAAAACAGGTCATCCAGTATAGTGTAATTGAGAGTTTGTGCTGTGTGGAGTTTTTGTTTTGTGAGTATAGCTTTTCGGCGTGCGATTTGCTAAGACGTTTTAAAAAATAGGTATGGCAATACTTATTATTCACTATAATCTTCCTTGAATTAGACTCTCTCTTAAATTAGACAAAACCTGTGGCCAGGAGTAAGAAAAAATATATATTTATATATGTAATATTATATCGGCTTGATACCATACTTTTTTAATGTTTTTTACTAAGAACTAATTAGTAATTATATTATATTATATAATAAGTGTTAATTAGTTAAATTGACATTTAATATGAATAATGACTTTATTTATAAATAACATTTTTTTACATAAATTAATTGATTCCCTAAATAGAAAAACTGTGTTGAGATATTGTGTATAGTGTTTGCGAAGGATGACTTTAAAGGTGTTTCTGTTTTCTCTGTGTATGTCTTGTATAATATTACTTTCTACATCCCAAAGAAATTAAAACTGGTATTAAAACATGGCGGGCTTCATTAATTTAATAAATTAAGTAATAACCCGCAATTTGAAACTAAATTTAAAAAAAATATTCAATGAACAATTGTTTTGAAACAAATTGTGTCGTAAATCGTAATCATTTCTTTTTATTTTAAACTCCTTTAGAGTTGTAATGAGCTGTAATAAATGAATGAATTGCGGGTTCTCCCCCACAGAACAAGTATTTGTATGGCTTACAATTATTTGTAAGCCATACAAATACTTTTTCCAGGTGTGGGTGTTTGTCCTTGTGAAATTTATGTTTATACAGGAGATATGTATACAGGAGAAAATCCTAGCGTGGAGGTAACGTTTTATAAAAAAAAAAGAAAAGAAATAAAGAATGAATGAATCTCATAATATATTAGAAACACTGACCTTACGATATATTTATAAACAACAAAACTGTTTTAAACTTTTTGTTTTATAAAAGCTTCTTAAAAGTTATAACAAAAATGTAGTGTAATATTTATATATTTAATATTACTATTATAGTAATAGAAATTAAATTCGACAACCCTACAAAAACCTAACAAATTAATTTGAACTTTAACCTGAATAAACGGCAATTATGGCATATCATTAGTCCGTTGAGCTGGCAAGACTACAGGAAGGGTTTGAAATACGTGTCGATACTACATGCAATAAGGGCATTATTCCTAATAAGGGTTTTTAAATGCTTTATATTATATTGCTTCTTAATAATCTTACTTAAATTAATTGCAAAATAATAAATAATAACAATATTAAGTCGAAAAAAAATATTTCTGTATATATGTATGCGCGCGTGTGTGTTAAAACTCGTTTGCTTAAACTTGTATTAAGGCGACACTGTGAAAAAATGCACCTCCTTTCATCGAATAGTATAGGACTATGACACCAATAACGAAAGTGGGATTTTGATATGGGTAAATTCATGTCTTTGACACACGATTGTATAATTTTGACTCGATCATAATTATTTGCGAAAACACCTCTAAAAATCACTATAGTTGAAATTACAACGAAATCATTTGATCTATATGCTTGGGAATCACTCAAATATATTCATAACATCAATATTCACAATTTACTTGCTCATTATTTTGATTACTTGAATCATTAATTTAAAAAAAATATATTTTAAGATTCTGACAATTTCTAAGCGCTTTTAATCGTCGCGGGCGCTACCCTATTTTAGACCTTATGACGGCGTTTTTTCAAGTTTTTATGGAAATTATGTATTCACTCGGATCAGTACGGCGATAGCGTTTTCGATGTGTCGTCTTAACCCTATTTAATTACCAAATGTCAAATAATAAAATAGCGTAATATTCACATTGGTGTGTCGAACGCGTTCGAGACATCAGTTTCAAAGCGTTGCGCAATCTTTTTATATCCGAAACATTTTAGTATCTTGAATATTTAAGTCGTTTAAAATACATTATTCAAATACCAAAACGATACTCACTTTATAAACATTTGACGACTTCTAAATTGGTTTATTTGTAAGCTCACTCAACAAGTAGTCGGGTTTTTATCGTGGTCAAATTTTAAACGTTAACGATAAGTGATAAAGTGAACAGTGCCTCTAAAAATGAAAAGAACTACGAATAAAGAGGAAGTGGATGTGTCGTGTTGGAATTGTTTCACAACGGAAGATGTTCGTAACGATTTGGATCCTGTTCCATTAATTAAAATAAGAGAGGAGCAGAGGGAAAAATTTAAACTTTACTCATTTTTGGCTTCTGAACTGTCAAAACCAAAAGCAGTACCTTTAAAACAAAAAGTAAGTACACATTATTCTGTCAGTGAAAAGATAGATGAAAAAATATGCCAAAACAGTGAAGTCGCTCAATACTTACGGAGCAACACAAAAGACGCTATTACAGATATTTATTATTTGCCTTGTGATAATTTATCAGCACAAACTGAAGAACTTGCTCAAGGAGTTAACAAATTGACTACTAATAATAAAGAAGATAAATCAACCGAGACCGAAATTAACATAACGTTAATTAAACTATATAGATCAGATAGCTCTTCGTCAAGTAGCAAATCACCTGATTTTAGACCTAAAAGGAAGCTATTGGTTAAACCTAATTTATCTCAAAACCAATTTGGTGAAAATTTTGGGGATAAAAAAAAGGAAAATTTACCTACTCGCATTCCTAAAAAAATAGATAATAAACCTAACCTAACTTCTATTAGTAAAACTACTCCTGAATTAAAATCAACTCATATGATACAGAAATCTAAGGTGGGATCACCTCTTCTGCAAACAAGGAATAATAAACAAAGTGTAACGCCCAAAATTGTTGCAACAAGTTCAGTAAATAAACCTAAGCTGAGTAAAGAAGAAACAATCGATGGTCCAACAAATGAAGTGGCAAGAAATTCAGGTCGTCTAACTAGCTCGGCTACGCTACAAACGTCTTCTCAAAAAGAACGAGAGAATATACACAGCACAAGGGAACAAGGAGACAACTCTTTGAGTGTAGATAACCATAACAATTCAGGTAAATTCTTAATCAAAACACCGTCTACAAGTTCTGTAAAATATACTAAAACATCAGTTGAACCAGTTAAACCGAAAACTACCTCTCTTAAGCAAAAAATAAGAGAACAATACCCATGCGACAAAACAACTGATGAAAAACCATTGTTTCCCAGCATAGCTAATAAGGTACTTAATACAACATCACCACGAAATGAGCTACCTAAGAGTTCAACGACGCTTAAACAAATCCTAAATGAACATTACTTGATTGATAAAGAAATTGATGAAACAATTGCTAAATATGCAGATTTAACAAAATCAAAGCTAAAGGTTTCAGAAAGTAAAGATAGTATTCCTGTCTCTAAATCAGAATCGCCAAGGAGAAAAACTTTTGAAAGTAATCATCACACGTCTATCGTAGCGCCACAATCAAATGTATGCGACAAGATTGATTCGAAATTAATTGCCAACAGCATTTTAACGAGCACTGAAAGAAATATTTCCATGTCGGCTAAAAGTTTCGACTTGGGCACAAACGAATCTATGACTGATGAAAATATTGAAAAATTAAATACTGTAATTTGTGGTCAAATTTCGACTCCTGTAAGTGTAAATAAATTTTATTCTCAAGATGCAAGTAATCTGTCGTATTTTACTGACAATGAACGTAAAAATAATGCTACTTTTGATGACAAACAAATCGATGAAATTATTGCGAAGTGTGCAGATCTGACTATTTCAGAGACAAAAGAAGTTGAGAACAAGAATAAAGTCCCTTTTACTACGTTGAAATTGGAAACAATTGTTAATAAAAAAGACCTAATCCCAATTAAAGTGCCAAGATTAAAATTAAGAGAACGCTCTTTAATGGAAAACAGAATTAAAGGTCAACTAATAAATACACAAAGGAAGATCGGGAGCAAGAGCTCAATATGTGAATCTAACACGGATATAAACTTAACGGAGGAAAATTTTTATAAGGTAATTGCAGTGAAAGATAAAAAAGAAGAGTTTATTTCTAAAGTGGAGACAAATCCAAGCAAAGTCTTATACGACAAACAAGAAAGTAATACATCCGATTCAAATAAAGTTAAAAGTGAATCTATAAAACTTTCAGGATCGGAAAATAAAGAAAGGTCTACTGAAAAAGCAGACAATGCAAGCTCAAATGGTTCAGAATCAGGTTATGCTGGTTCTTCAGGGACAGTACAATATTTTCAAGAAAACTATATTATTCATAATGAAATTGAAACAGATGATGGACTCGGAAAAAATTCCAATGTAACTCGCCATCCAGATAACTTAGAGATTAAAGACTTTAAGTCTTCTTTACCGGCCTTGAACAGTATATCTGAAAAAAATATTTTGAAAACCACAACGACTTCCAAATCATTAATTTTCAACATTAATAATACTGGTATTAAAACAACATCAAAATCAGAACGATGGAGTACATTATCGGTCCCTCCAAAAGACCTAAGTTTTCAAGGTAATTGTTACTTATTTTATTTTTATGTCCTAATTCTACGGGTAATGTTGCCGATTACAAGTACACTTGGCGTCACCTTTTAATAGTCGGTAATAATTGCCTGCGAACATTGTTAGCATCCCACGCATACACGGTCCTGTGATTCAATGTATTTGATCGCGGATACTATCGCTAGCTCGACGAATAACAGGAAACGAACTCAGTGTAGGACGCGATAAAATGTGGATTTTGTTTTCAATCTACATAAAGTTACTTAATTTGTTCCAATTCAGTTGCTCTGTGAATTGCGGCTGCGTTTAAAATGGCCGCTTTAATTAGCCACAAATCTGAATCTAAATATTTATCGTTAGAAAAAAGTAACATAAGTCCACCATATAAATCAGTTATTGTACGTTATCAATACGGGCCTGTTAATATTTACGATATACAATCGGACCGTCGCGAAACAAATAAATTTAACACAATAATGTGTAAGTGCTTTCAAAAGTGTTTTCTTTGTTGTTGTCAAACTGTGCCAGAGGAACAACACGATTCTCCGATTGAAGACCCAAATTCTTCTTTAGTGGGCCCAACTGGAAGAAGTTATACTTTAAACAATAAAACAATGAAGCAAACACAACAGTCCATACCAACAGTAACTATCACTAGAGTGATTGATAACGATTCAGTTACCTCCATAGCGACAAAAACAATAGACAATGAATCAATTAAATCTACGACGAATCTATTGCTGTCTAACGAACGTGAAGCAAGTTCAAAATATATGAATGAAAATAAGACTTATAAACAAAGTGAACAACCAAAACAAACAGAAGTCGACAGCCGAAACAGCACAATAAAATCCGGTGAGAAAATATCCTTCATTCGCGAAGTCGTATCGTGCCGTGATACATTCTTGAAGTCTCTAGAATGGTGTGATAACTCCCTGACAAGGGGAAAAAGATGTCGCCAAGTTAAACGCGACGAATGGCTTGAGTTACAAAACGAGGGTATTGAAGTCTTGCGATTCTATTGAGCACACACCAGCACCGCGCATGGCTCCTTAACGTATCAACACTAAAAAAATACGTTATTATTTTATTATATAACAAAAAACGCACCGTGACATCTTTTTCTTATACCTAACATACACCTAACAATTGCAAGCCAATTACGATTTTAATGCGCAATTTTCAATGGCTTTGACCGTGAATTTTCTAAAAAAATATAATTTTTTTAATGAATAACAAGTCACTTTTAACTTCTTTAGGTCATACTGAAATTGGAACATACTTTTCCATACATTTGTACTGTTCAATAATATTAGATGTATAGTAGTAGTAGTATGTATAGATTTAGTCTTACACACATTACTGTATATTGCACCTAAAACTATCGTAATATATAATAATCATATATTAAACAACAATAATTACTGCAGCTCGCAACTTTTTAAGCAATGTTTGTTATTTACAGATGATGTGTACTTGTCAGACACCCTGTCATCCGGCAATGCCACTTTGCCGCGGCGATCCAGTTCGCCGCTGCCTAATGAAAGAGATCTGGACAGAGATCGATTCCCGATCAACAGAAGTGGTTTACAGGTAACAACTATTACACGTAAACTAACAAATAGAATAGTATATCATATATACGATAGAATGCATAGAATAGAAAATCAATATAGATTATTAAATAGAATGGAATATATTTATTCAATATAGATTATTACATAATACTTATGAATCTTTTTATTATTTACCACTGGTTCTAAAAATATCTCTGTCACCAGCATGAAATCTCGCGGGATTATTTTAATCATAAATTTTATAATAACGAGTAATTTAGGATAAGATGCAACAGTTCCAGTGTTATTTTTAAAAATCTCTCGTTTTTCCTGTTACGAAACGCCTCACTCTTACTTCGAAAACACATATAGCCGTTGATCTTTCGCCTGGTCCTGGTATCAGTGAGGGAATAGAGAGTGCACCTGTGCTTGAGCACCCACTCCTGCTCTATAATCTTGTCCTGCGCAGATTGTTACCCTCCACTGGCCGCTGTGACCGCCTGTGGAGGCCTGGAGGACATTTTACAATTATTTATATTGAATTTTAACAGAACCAGCACGATAGTGATCACCTCATTCCCAAAGGTTATTTTTCATACGTCAGTCAATCAATGTCAGTCGTATTTCCTTATAGCAAAATTACATAATATGACGTGTTAATAAAATAACTAAGTTAAAGTAATAGCTAGCTAGCTGTTTCAACATTGTTTAGACATTTCTATTCTAAACTTTCTTACAGCATCTGCTGCAGAATTGAGTTTAATTGCTAATTTAGATATATTAGTGCTGCATTGGACCTTTGCGTCAATACTATTTAATTAAAAAAAAAAAACTAATTAATAAAACGTTTGATCCACAAGATTCAAGTTCGAGCACATTGGTATTCAAATATTCAACGTGTATTGTAGGTACTCGTATATTTTGTACATTTTGTTTTGTTCCCGTTTACAAGCAAATTATTGGTTTTAAACTAATGGTCAAATTTCGTTTCGTAAATGTTTATTATCGTAGAAATAGTGTAAAATAGTCCATTTAGAAATGAGTGATTGTGTTTTTTGTTTCTTTATACATAACAGAGAAACGTTCTTGTTCATAAATTATTACAAACGTACTTAAAGTGTCAAAAAACCATATGGTCACCTTGTTACAATGCTCACGTATAGAGACTAGAACGTTTACAAAAACGATTAACCAGGCACTTAGCATATCGAAGTCAGTTATCGCGCTGGACATCCTACACACAAACATGCATTCCTTAGAATTAAGACGATCACTGGATATGACTTTCTTATATAAACCATTTAATAATGCTATCGACTGCCTAAATCTGCTTCCGTAAGGTACACGGCTGCACGGTGCACGGCACGGCACGACATAAACATGTACATATAAAGTACATATAGGTGGTAGAGGCATTGCAGCTATATTAGTAGTATAGTTTTAATACGATCGGGTCCGCTTAACCGGGGGAAGGACCACGCTCATAGAATGCCAACGTAAAATAGCAGCTTAATTCAGCTGTGTTTCGTATGGAGAGTGTAGAGAACCGTTCCAACTCAGTCCTCACGGGTGACAACGCATCTGCATTTTAATACTTAGCGAGGATAGATATGGATGTCTATGGGCCACAGAAACTACTTACCGTTAGGTGGACTGTGTACTCGTTTGTCACCCTTATCCTATAAAAAAATCTAGGAAAAACACCACCAGTTTCTCGCTTGACACGTACGATTTTTTTTACACCTTACATAATTATAAAAGAAAAATTATTCTAATTGGATGAGGCCTATGTTATGTATTTTATTTATATTTATCAATATATAAACCCTTTTCTTTAATAACTGTTGGGTGTCCTTTAAAATAAATAAACAAATCTATAATTAAAAACCAAAATTAAAATGATATTCATTTATTTTTATACATATACGTTTCATAAATTATTTAATATAGATTCTTGGACCTATTCGGTAAAAGTCGGTTCCTTAACATTCGCGACAACGAAATGTGGAACAAAATAAAAATGTCTATAATATTCGTTTTACTTGACGATTAAGTTGTCTACGAGTTCATATGGTTCGATCCTCTCACCTTTGCCATTCACTGATGTAGGTGTTAGAGGGATGGGGAGCCAGTATATATGTAGTAATTACAAGCAACATTTCATCTATGATCTTAGAGGATACAACACATTTCTAGCTTTTTTAAAGTTGATTAATGAATATACGGTGAAACCTGGTTAAGTGAGAAACATCTATTATTGAGAACTACAATGAGGTCCCGGCACTTTTTCATCGAGTTATCTCTGGGACTTCTCGTACCTGGTTAAATGAGATTTGATTTCTAGGATTTTTTCGATGTTTACCTCTATAATTGGTACTTGGAGCTCAATTCCTTTATAAATGAGACAATTTATCAGGTTGGGACAGGTTTCGACACGATTGTTTACAAACATTTGAATTTCTTTCGCAAGTGCCCCTGTAAATGAAACAACTAAATTGTAAACCTGTCTAATTGGAAAACTGGATAAATGAAAACCTCCTACATGATACAAGATCCTTGGTCCCTTGAGATCCCAATTAACCTTAAAATTAATATATTTTAAACTGTTTTCAACCAAAACAAAATGAAACTTCAATAATTGAATTTACTCCATAAAAACGAAACGTTCCACTTCGAGGAAACTACTGTCACCGACGGTTATTTTGAATTGACATGACTAAGGCAACTACAAAAAAAAAACTTACTAGTTTCTTAATTGTCTGCATCGCACTTGCAATACCCCTGGTGTAGCAATTTTTATGGGCGATGATGCTCACTTACCGCAAAATGTTCATTTTTACCACCTCTAACATAACATAACATGTTCGTTTTTACCACCTCTTCCTCTTCCTGATTTAAAGTAAAATAATGTTAGAGCTTGTTTACGTATCACTGTTGCGCACAGACCTCCCCTCATTTCTTAGGTTTTAGGGCAAGTAGGTGTCCATCGCGCTGCCGCAATACGTGTTGGCAGACTTCACGTCTTCGATTTTTTTTATTTCCTAGTCATGCAGGCTTACTTACGATGTTTTCTTTAATCGTCAAGCATGTGGTAAATCAGCAGTTAAAATTGCAATTAACTATTTAATTGATGCCGACGGAGATCGAACCCGGGTTGCCTGCGTACTGTAAAATGTATAGTGTTTTGCATATAATTCTCTTATAATACATTACTTTGAATGAACAAAATATAAAGGTGCCTCTAAAACGTGGAATTACATTTGTATTTAAGATAGCAACATGAGTATTGTCTCGGGGGCAAAGCGGCCATTGTTTTATGCTACGACTGCCCAGTCTTGCGACAGAGGCCTGCGAACGAGATGTTGCAAAACGTCAACGTACGTACGTTTTTAACAAAGCGAAGTTATTTATAACCAAGCAATGCTTTAATGCTTTCTATTTAATTTAAATTAAAATTGAATATACTTTAAATAGTTATTGATGAATACAGGGCTAAATTCATCAAAATGGCAGTATAAGAATATCCACTACTCCATCTCATCCCGTGGGTGACGTAAGAGGCGACAGAGAGTAACTGAACCATGAGGTGGATAGCAGTAACTTCCTTATAATAACTGAATTAAAAAACCACTGGCCAAGCGTAGCAACTATGACATATATCTCCCCTCTGAAGCAATTATTGGGAAAGCATATGTTTAGCAGTGAACTTTTAAACTTTAAGCTTTGGGCCTAGCCTCTAGGTAATAGATACTTAAAATTATGCATATAGTTATTTTTATACATACAATCAAAATGCTAAATTTACAAGACAGAATAAACGTAATCAACCAAAGATAAATTAACAATTATTGATGACATAGACCGACAGTGTTTTTTTTTTAGATTTTTACTCGACTTTATCTTATCTAATTATTTTTTCTTATCTAACTTATAAACATTTCGTTGTATATTTACAAATAGTATCTAAATCGATTTGACATAGTTGCGCCGATAACACAGATAATATAACTTTAGCATACAATAAATATGGTTGAAATGAATGGTCAAAAGTTTTGCGACCAAATAAATACTATGCATCATACCTATTTATCGTGATCGGTATGGTCTTAGTGCTTATAAAAATACTCTAAGGGTATGGCTATGGGTATCTTTTGTATATTTAATATTATATACTTATTAGATTACTTACCTAAATCACTGCAATCAGGTATTTGTTCTTAGTTATAATTTACTAGGCAAAGAATCGGTTTAGCTATAGACGTCCCGTACTGGAGTTTAATTATGTTTTCAGTTTAGGAGGCTTCTCAGGCTTCAACTTTTTAACGCTGTTTTTGGATGTCGGAAATGCGTTTTGAATTAAATACGATGAAAATAAACATTGCGTAAAACGAAACGTAAGTATGGCGATTGGGTCTAGTATTATGAGGTTAGATGTTAAAAACCGGTGTAAAAAGTGTGATACGGAACGGTGTTGACGACCATTTTGTGGACATTCGTCAATGTCAAATGTAAATAAATTATCTATGATGTCAAATGTCAATCATCATTCCGTTTTTCTAGTGGTCACGCGAAAGTTTCTCTCCAGCTTTTAGTGCTGTGTTTTTTTGACGACTGCTGCTCAATTTTTGGCTATTTTTGATTGCCCTTACGTTTTAATTATCTATGACGTCAAATGTCAATCATCATTCAGTTTTTCTAGTGGTCACGCGAAAGTTTCTCTCCAGTTTTTAGTGCTGTGTTATCCATGTTTTTTGACGACTGCTGCTCAATTTTTGGATATTTTTGATTGCCCTTACGTTTGAACTTGGCTTTAGTTCTGAATTTGATTTAACTGCGTTACTTTGGACTTTAACCTGCTTACCGGATCTGAGAATGAGCGATTATTATAGATTAGATAGGTCGAATCTGTACTAAAACCGAATCAGAACGCCCCGACTCCAAGTAGTCTTGTCTGCCCTACCCCTAGAGTAATTTTGTAAAGCTCTAGGTGCGGAGGGAGAGCAACGCCAGCCCGCTGTAGCAAATCGCAGCCATTTATGCGAGCCGTAGCAGCTGAGGCTGGTTGCCGAAGGCGACCAATATGCCGAAGTTGCCGAGTTGAGCATGGGTGCCTGTGATTTGCTACGCAAGGGCAAAGGGGTAGCACTTCCCGCAGTGCCGAAGCCATTGCAGAAGTAACTGAGTCAATATTCCTGTGTAAAAAATGTGGTTATTATTTTACAAAAAAAAATATTAAAAAAATCTTAAAGTATACATTTCTGCAAGGGGCGGCGGGTAGGGTACTTCCCCAAAACCCTCCCCCGTACGCAAGTACCGGATGCCTATAGTTTTACCAAAGAATTACTTACACAATACCACATTACGCATCTTATACGTTATGAACACATTGTCAATCTTTAATTGAATGCAACTATTAAATAAGAACTGGTCTAAGTGCTTTAAACAATCTTTAACACCACCACATGTGTGGTCTTAAAAATATAGTTAGTTGTAGCAAAAAAGCGTATTTAACATAAACGGAAGGTAAAACGTAGGCCGAACCAGTATCACCGGTTTATTCACGAAACGTTGCAACATTAATCCCTTGTTTAGGTACAGTGTGGGTAGAAACGATATATTGTTGCTCAATGCTATATTATGCGGTCGCTTGGCCTTTTTCTTGTGACAACAGCACTGCATTTGTCGTGTATATAGTGTTAATAGCGGTAAATATTAGTAAATACTTTTATCAGTTTAAAGTGACATGTGGGGTAAATAATATTTAAAACGAAGAACCCCATCATATAGTGATCGTAAGGTTTTTGCGAGCGTCGTTTTAATATCATAAAATTCAATAACGCTCTGGTAATAAGGAAGAATCAGTTTTTAAGAGAATTTTAATCAGAAGGGATTTTTATAGGACCTTGTACACTTTATCATGAGATTTTATGTAAACAAAAATATCAGATAAATAAAGTTGTTATAGACTGTCTGTAAACCGTATGTATTATAGATAAAATTGCCGTGGTATAGTGGCATCAAGCTTGTAGTGGCGGTGGAAGAATATCCCCTACCCTATCCCGTAGGTGTCGTATGAAATGATAGAAGGATTTTAACCTGGAGATGGGCAGCAGCCTTCCTAGTTTAGTTTAGTTTACGACGGGCTGTTTTCCGCAACTCCACGTCTAAGCGCGTATTTTTCGTGTGGAAGTGTTTCTTCCTTTAAAACCTAATAAAATTCCAAATAAAATTATTTAGCTGGCAGGGTTCATTTTCTCTGGCAACCCTAGAGACAAGTTTAAATAGTAATTGCTCTCAAACAATTTCATGGTTCTATTGTAAATTGTTTTTATCCACCTCATGGTTATTAATTACAGATAGTTTGTTGTGTAGTTTAAAGAAACCGATAATACCTACTTTCGAATTAGTAGGGCTCTTTTCTTTCATTAAATGTTAATAAAAAGAAGAAAGTCGGAACTGATTAACCGCTTTCATATTATGTTCCACTACTTGGTACATGCCTCCTCTCATTTCTGTAATGGTGATGGACCTTGAAAGAATCCGCCGTATCTATATTTACTTTGAAATATTTTTATTTCTTCGACATGCCGGCACAATGATTTTCTTCACCACCGGGCACGCAAATGAGTACGAAAATATCGTAAAAAAATCTTGCCTGTCTGAATAAGAGTAGTTATAATGTTTCGAGGACATGATATAACGTCCGCAGACCCTCTCAAACATGATAGGAGACACAGACCCGACAGTGGGACGTATTTAAGCTGTTACTTAGTGCGTTGTACCATATCAATGTTTATTATTATTTTATTTTATATTATTTTGCTTTTTTAATGTTTTTTTATTATTATTTAAACTGGCATAAAATGCGCTATGTATGTGGGAGAAAGTAGTTTTACATAAAAGATGCAAGATGAATAACTACGCGAGGCATTTACATACGTACTACTCTGTTTACGTGAGTTTTATTTAGGATAATGAGTGCAAACACAAAACAATGTACTGGAGCGAGCGTTTGTCATTGTAGTAACGTATCGAGTGACAAAAGATAATGCGGATAAACAATAACAACGGCGGGCTTGTGTTTCATGAGCTCATCACCCAGTTATGGACAAGAGAGCCAAGCAAAATGCACTCGGAATATGTTGCGATATTGTGCTGTTTCAACCTATTTGTCAAACGGTTTTAAAAAAATAAACTGTTTACTAAGGTACGTGTTGTTGCAACAAGGAAGTTCATTGTTTAATTTCTTGTGGAAATAGTTTATTGTTCTGCAGACGTGTAATTACTCAATGAAATGATAAACGGCTAATCCTGCTGTAAGATTTGGTTTGTTGTAAAAGCTCATGATCACATTTAATTTCATTACATTTAATTATTTGTAATTGTACGTATTAATTTATTAGTAATTAATTAATATAGTATAATTACTATAATAATAACATTTTTATTTCAATAAAATTTCGGAGAATGTATGTTGTCGCGTACATTATTAATAAAAAATATGGCAACTAAAACCTGCCTTACGAAGTAAATATTGAAACTGATGATGTATTTTACAAAATTCTAAAAAAGGAAGAGGTTCTCAATTCGACTGTCCTTTTTATGTGTGTTGTACCTCAGAACATTTTAGTTATCCTTAATAATGCGTATTTAATTGACTTTGACTATATTGATGTTCTCATTTTATTTATATTGAAGTTGGTTGTACAATATTTTTAATTTTACCATTTGTGTTATACCAAAGAAGTTTACTTAATATTTAAATTTCGTTAATTAATAGGTATGTCTTTCTTGCAGGTTGAAAAATAGACAATAGTAGTAATATCTCGACGACAATCTATCACATTCATCAACTCTCCTATACAGTCTATAAAAGTCCGTTACTGAACATAGCCTCACTCATAGAATATATCCAGAAACAAGAGTGGCAAACGAGTACACGCTCCATCTGATGGTAAATGCATCTTGTGGAATAAAAATACACATTGATGTTTTATCTTAGAAGTGTATTTTAAACCCGAACAGACTGGCTCTCACAAGCAACACCTGTTCACGAATATAACGCACGTGGCGGCAGCCATGGCCTTCCTTCGTTCGTGCTAATTCGGCGAGTACGATTCCAGGCGCGCTCGGAGTCGATGGCATCAGTATACTCTGGTGCGGGCGAGGGCGCGCGCGGCAGCGTGGCGGTGCGCGGCGAGGTGCAGTTCTCGCTGCTCTACAACTACCGGCTGGGCGCGCTCGAGGTCGGCGTCAAGCGATGCCGCGACCTCGCGCCCGTAGACACCAAGCGCAACCGCTCCGATCCCTACGTCAAGGTACGCTGAGCTTCGTTATTTAGTACCGGGTTGTATTCTTACGTCACTTCAGGGACACGTGGCTCTCGGCACCAAACACAACCACTCCGATCCTTACGTCAAGATATGCTGAGCTTCGATATTTATTATTTACCGGCGCGTTGCGTTGTGCTACTCGTCGCTTTTTTATTTAATTACAACGACAAACTATGGGTATGTTCCAAAATGGAACCCTGTGTACTGTCCAATGCAAATGACGTCATGAATCGACGATATACTAGTGATTCGTTTCAAAACATAGAACAGTATATGTATATAACGTCACACATTTGCGCCATTTTGGAAAAGTGTTTATTTTTTTTGTCATTTTGTGCTCCAAAATCATTATATCCTCCTAATGGAGATACCAGCAATTATTCTATAATTTTTTGTATTTAAATAAATAAAAACAAATTATTGCATGCTTCATTCAGCGCACACATAATTAAAAATTGTTTTATTATGGTCGGATAACCGACACAATATGGCGGCGGCACGCCAGTACAATATGGTGTCAATTGATGATCTATTTGTATTCGACAGTATATTGGAAACGTTTCGGAACATACCCTTATATCGCAGCTTATCTAATGACATTTTTAGCAAATGCAATTCTTGGATATGTCAACAAGTACTGCAGCGTCTAGAACCGAATTGTAATCGATCTCGCAGTTCATCTGATGGTAAGCCGCAACTACAGATCATGGATAACTCATAGATATGAAACATTCCTTTCTTCTTTAAAAACATCTAGTTCAAAAACTGAAATACTAATAGTGAATGTACGGTTGTCATAATAGAGAAAAAAATTGAAAGTCAAGTTAAAGTTACAGCCTACGTCCCACTCCTGGGCACAGGCCTCCGCTCATTTCTGAAAGGGTTTTAGGGCAAGGAACTGTCCGTCGCGCTGCCCCAATGCGTGTTGGCGAACTTCACATCTCTTCGAAATATTTCTTTTTCTTATTTCTCAGACATGCCGGTTTCCTCAAGATGTTTTTCTTCACCGCCGAGCACGTGGTAAATCAGTATTTAAAATTGCAATTAACAATTTCATTGGTGCCGGCAGTGATCGAACCCGGTTTGCTCGCGTATTGTGAAATTTACAGCGAGTGCTAACCATCTGAGCTACCACGGCTCAACTCAACGTCACCACAAATTTCTAAAAACATTTAAATTCATTACTTGATAGTTTCTACTTTGTATGCCGACAAATGGCATACCAGTAATGGTACATGTTTATTCCAGGTTTACTTGTTACCAGACAAGTCCAAAGCCGGCAAACGCAAGACGAAGGTGAAAAAGAACACGCTGAACCCTGTGTTCGAGGAGACGCTGAGCTTCGCGCAGCCGCTGGCCTCGCTGTCCGCGCGGACACTGTGGCTGAGCGTGTGGCACGCGGACATGTTCGGTCGCAACGACTTCCTAGGCGAGGTGACGCTGCCGCTGGCCGACGTCGTGTTCGACGACCCCGCGCCCATGTGGCATAAGTTGCACGAACGGGTCAGTCATTTATCATCTAAAAATGTAAACATTATTGTACATTATCTATGCTTAGTGTATTAGGGCAACACTGCACTGGTGACGGACGAGGAAACGGTAAGATCATGAAGTATAGAGGAAGGAGGCAATCTCCCATAGGAGAATTGTTAAAAATGTGTCCATCTGTAAGCAGTAAATAATAGTTCAAAAACTTCCCACAACAGCGCCCGAGTAGCTACAGGGTTATGATAAATCGCCTTAAAATACGTTGAGTGATTTTGAAATTAAAAATTTTGAAAGCAATAAAATAATTATTGTAAAAAGAATTATGGCGAAAGTCTGTGCAATAAAAAAATTATAAAAAGTTTTTTAATATTTGGATTGTAGTTACAGTGGCGCCACCCTTATTTAACGCTTTCCTACGGACATTTTTTCTGTTCTCCTTACCTCTACACTCCATAGGTAAGATTATATTCAGGGGAAGTTCCACTAAATAATGAAACGGTAATCCGTTGAATAAATCACTATGAGTATTTACTAAAAATTATTTTTTACCGTCTATATATATATATATATATATATATATATATATATATATATATATATATATATATATATATATATATATATATATATATATATTTATATATATATATATATATATATATATATATATATATATATATTTATATATATTATAGTAAATATTAATATGATTTTTTTCTTCAAATTTTATTGATTCACCGTTTGACTATATTAACATATTATTAACTTTAAATTTGGAAGTTATTATATACTTAATGGGTTCGACATTTGAAAGTTTAAATTTCAACACATTTGCGCGTTTTGGGGTCCATAGAGCTCGAACCTACTTTTTAAAAGATGATATTATGTATGTATGTTTATACGATAGTCATTTTTGAGCTGTTTTAGTTTTGCATAATACTCGTATCTCGAAAATTAATGATATTTAACGAATCGCATAATAAAATACCTTTCTTTATTTCATGTCTGTAAATACGAACAGCTTTCATTAAAAATGATTCGATTCTTTAGAGGTTTTGTCAATCGAATTTAAAATAGAATATTATGGAAAATTATTTTTAACTGACCGAGTCCACGTAATGCGTTAAAGTGAAAGTAGCCTGTTGGTATAAGGTAGGCGCATTGCCTTAAAAGTCATTCATTAACAAATACTAGCGTTTAAACTAAAAGTTCTTTTCTTTTTTATATGCTACTAAAAAACCAATTGCCTTTATCGTCACGTTTGGAGATCAGATTGATGTTTAGTTAGTTTCACAGTACTAGGTGTTTCGCAACTTTGATGCCGCTGCCCGTCGTCGGTTTCATGATATTTTGCGTCTGAATTAAACGAAATTGATGTACCGTTATCCATTAAAAGTCTTATGACTTTTCTGGCGTTTATTGGTGTTAGACTCTTACGACACTTACGGGACGAAATGGGGGTGAATGGGGAGATATTCCTACACTGCCACCACACTAATTTGAAGTTAAAGTTACAGCTTAATATATCCTTCGGCTTGGCATATGCCTCCTCTCATTTCTGAGAATGTTTTAGGGCAAGGGAATGTCCGTCACCCGTCCCAACGCGTGTTGGCGAATTTAACATGTCTTCGAAGTATATTTTTCCTTCACCGTTGAACACGTGGTAGGTAAATCAGAACTTAAAATTGCATTTAAAAGCAATTTCATTGGTGACGGAGAGGATCGAACCCGGGTTGCCCGAGTACTTGTGAAATTTACGCGCTAAGCCCCTGACTACAGCGCCAATTTATTAAAATTTATTTTTTAATTTCGCACATAATGTAAACGTTCACAAATAATTGCAGACGGAACAGTTTGAGGAACAGCAGGGTACCCGTGGGGACCTGATCGTGGGTCTGAAGTTCGAGTTACAAGATGGCGGCAAGGGCACACTTCATGTTCTCGTAAAGGAGGCCAAAAACCTGCTCGCTACTAAGCCAAACGGGCTCGCTGATGTCTTCTGCAAGAGGTTAATATTTATTTACTATTTTTCTTGTTCTTATTAACACATCAACAGTCTACTACTGTAACCAAAGCTTCTTTCTTAGAAACTTTTTTATTTAATATAATATGCAGGTTATAAATAATACTTATTGAAATTTACTAGCAACAAAGGCTGGTAATTCTGGCGGTACGAATAATGATATTGAAAGGAAAAAGCAGGAAAAAACGGATAAGAATGATAGAAGAATATCGGATAACTTCCAGGCAAATATTAAAATGTTCTGGAAACTCGTAAGAACTGACAGGGGGACATTCAAAACAGCCTAGAATTAATGCTATAAGAGACGACAATGGCTGTATTCTGAATAATGAATTTTTGAGTTTAAAGAGATGGCAGGAATATTTTGAAAACGTGTTTATGAGTGAGGAGACGACGTATGAACTAAATGAAATATAAATTCCAAAAAAAGAGGAAAGAGGTTGGGAGGATAAGTATAGATGAATTAGTGAAAGCAATGAAAAAAATAAAAGCAAGTAAGGCAGCCGGATATGATAAAGTTTCACTCGAAATGCTAAGGGCTGCAGAGGAAGTGGTGGCAGGACTGCTGTACACCTTGTTTATTTTATACTGGAAACTGAAGCGGGTACCGGAAAACTGTTGCACTGAACACACAAAAGAAGAGTTTCTTGTGCGTTCATGAACTTTGAAAAGGCTTATGACAGAGTGGACAGGGATGTGTTATGGCAAACACAGAATTCATTTGGGTGGAGCGCTGGGTTGATACAGGCATTAAAGTCTCTTTATAGGGATTCTAGTGCTAGTGTTAGGATCAACGGGGTCTTTGATTGTGGTTTTTGAAAGAGAAGAAAGTAATACGATGTGTAAAATAAGAATAGAAGGGGAGTTGGTCGAGCAAGTAGATGAGTTTGTATATTTGGGATGTGTATTCAGCAGGGATGGGAGATATGATAAGGATATAGAACGACGAGTGAACGCAGGAAATAAAGTTAATGGGGCTCTGCATTCTATTGTGAAAAGTCAGAATATGTCAAAAAAGGCACGTATGGCAATTCACAATGTTGTGTTAGCTCCTACTTTAACGTATGGTAGTGAAAGTTGGGTGTGGTGGAAGAAGCACGAGTATAGAGTAAGTGCAATGGAAATATGAATATAGTATGCGTAGGTATATGAATGTGGAGGAGGCGAGAGAGGTGTGTCAGGATCGTGCCAAATGGAAATCTGTAGTCTCTGCCTACCCCTCTGGTTGACAGGCGTGAGTGTTTATGTATATTATTATTATTACGTTATTGAAAGTCACTCTCATGTTTAATTTACCAATTGTTCAAAACATGTCTCTGTCCTGGAAAGAACCAGCAGGAAACCCAGTGGGACAGTCGCATTTTGCATGTATTGTTTTTATCCGACTGCCCTAGAAGTAGGATAATGTTTTTTGAGAGTATGCATGTATGTGTCTATTTCTTTGGCATGCTCTGTAGACTAAATGACTCGAAAGATTTTAACATATGAGATTGGTCGTAAGATACGTCTTAATTGTGGGAGTGCTAGGCTACAAAAAATTTCTATAAACTACAGTCGGGTTTTTTAATTACTGTTTGAACGACAGGGTTTGTATACAAAATAGGCTTATGGTTCACTTTAACTATCATTATCACCAGAGTTCATCACAAGTCCACTGCAGAATATAAGCTTCCCTAATAGGTTTCCACAAAGTACGGTCTTGAGCCAACTGCATATCTCGACTACTTGCGAGTTTCATCAGATCGTCACTACATCTAGTGATTTGTAGTTAGTAGAGGCGATTGCCAGTACCAGTCTGCTCCTCGAGAATGTTTTCAATTTGTTCTACATATAAATCTTGTCTAAATACAAGTCTAGAAGAATAATATCCATATATACATAGATAATTAATAATAATTTCACTTACCTCCATAGGTAAGGAAAACAAGAATTCTACTCTTTTGATTTCTTTTTTCTTAGAAAAGAACAAGTTATACTAAAAAGTGACATTAAAATATTCATCTTCATTACGTATTCAGAAATTATTAGTATATTAGTAGTATAGTTGTAGCACAAATGGGTCGGTTCGACTGTCGAAGGACCACGCTGTCTCAGAGTACCAGCGTAAAATAGATGCTGCTGTGTTTCGTATGGTGAGTGAAGAAAACCGGACACCCTTTTCACCGGAAACGAGGCATTCCATCTTAGTCCTCACGGGTGGCAGCGCATTTGCGTTTTGATTCGTAATCGAGGACATATTTTTATTTATTTATTTATTCAGCTAAACTTATCACTAACTACAGGATTTCATGACCTAATGCGCTAGGAAAACAGTAAACATTTTAATTATTGTACCATATGATGAATAATGCGGTCCCTGTGAATTCACACAAAGAACATACGAATATGTCAACCTCCTCATGGATAAGGTTAAGGTGATACGTCGAAAATTTGGTGGTTTTCTATTTCACATATTTTTTTAAGTTTTATAGATAACAAAACAAAATTTTGGTATATTATTTTTGGCTATATGACCTTGGATTGGCATAAAAGGAAAACACGATATCATGTAATTTTCTCGATAGAAAAAAATTGCAAATTAGACTCGAAATAGTTACATTTCTTCATGACACCACAATTATTTTACGAATTAGTTCATGGAATTATTTTTAAGGCATAGTAAATAATCATATCGAGGTTCTCATAAACCATTTTATTAATCAATAACGTAGGTAGTTTTGTTAAAAAAAATCGAAATGTTGTTTGGCGCTTACTTAGTTTTTTTCTGAGCTTGCTCGGTATGGCTATCTCATAATTTACGTATTATGAAGTCATTGCATCACTTTCATTTTGACACTCCCTCAGTCGTCCGTTCGCTTCACCGATAAAGGAATAAGCGACGTCCTCAAAACTACGATTTATTTTCAAGGTATCTCCTTAAGTAGTCTGGTGGCGCGAGTGCGCGACGCCTCCCTCAGTATGTTAGTGCGGGCGCGCGACACTGCCACTGCCAGTAGTCGCGGGCGCCGCTCTCGCCACACGTATTGCTCCGGGACACTGAAATATATAATTTAAAAAATATATATATAGATGTCTATGGGCCACAGCAACCACTTACCATCTGGTGGACTCAGTGTTGCTCGTTTGTCACCCTTATACTATTTAAAAAAAAACTAAAACGAAATAAATTGTAAATCGAAATGATCAATATATAATCTTACTTTTTCCACAGTTACCTGCTGCCAGAAAGAGGTCGTCTTGCCAAACAGAAAACGAGTGTAGTACGGAGAACACTAAACCCACGCTGGGAACACACATTTACCTACCGTGGGCTGACCATGCAGGAGCTGGCTACCAGAGCCCTGGAGCTGAGTCTTTGGGACAGAGACAGACTTGCCTCTAACGACTTCATGGGAGCTGTTAGATTGTCGCTTGGAACTGGTAAGATATTGATTTTTAACATTCAATATTAATTTAAAACACAATAAATCCAGTGTCAATAAACGAAATTGTTACTTATTCACGGATAGACAGCGCAGTGGGTAAGCGTTTGGCAACAGCGCTGCGGGCTACAAGTTTGATTCCCACATGGAACATCTATTTGAATGGCCTATGATTAACTTCTAAGGCTATATTTAGTCTAGGTGGAATTTATGTATCTATGTAAAATGTTTTCACGGTACAGGATAAATTTTAATGTGGAATTGTTTAGTAATAACTGCACCCCTATAGCGCAGTGGCTGTGTTTTGCCACAGCGCTATAAATAATTGTTTCAGGTCTTCATGTTTGTTTATTGAATTCGCCATACATGAGAAAATCCTAGTGTGGGCGGGTTTTAAAATAAGAATACTTACAATTAAAAAAAATAAACACCAATGAAATTGTACAATGGCACCAACTGAAATGAAATTGTAAAATTATAACTAACAAGTACAAAAAATATTAGAAAAGGACTGTATGGAAATTTGCACATCTGAGTAATTAAAATATTTTGAAGCGAAACAAATTGCGCCAATTCACATAGAACCCTTGCAGAAATATGAAAATTTCTCTGCTCAGAAGTAGAAAATTTGCAAGCTTCATTGATTTTATAAATAACAAATATTTAATTACAGGTACATACATGGGTGCCAGTGTCAATTGGATGGACAGTATGGGCAAAGAAGTAGCATTATGGCAGACTATGATGCAACGACCAAACTTCTGGGTGGAAGGCTCTCTGCCGTTAAGGCCTCAGTTAAACAACTAAGAAATAAATTACACATTGTACCTTCAACTTTGATACTCAGATTATTAACACTCCATTATAATTAGTTCATTAAATGACATTATTTTGAGTTTTTTATCATTTCAAAAGATGACTTTAACCAAAACGAAGAATGCATTTTATTTGTCCATTATTACTTAAAATATACAAAATATTATAAAAATCCGATACAAAATTGCCAAATAAAATATTGTGGAAATATTAATAAAATAAACCTATCGATAACATTTATTTTTGTATCTTATAAACGTATAATATAAACAATCTATTAACTCTAGTATACTATTCAATGCCATTCACTTCTCATTCCTCTCAAGTAATAGAGGTTAAATATAAAATTAACATTAAATGTGTGACAATAATCAATTTCAATCGTTACTGCCTGTACGTTTAAGTGCTTAGAAGTAAGTACGTAAGTTAACGCATTTAAAGTAGAATAATTATGTACAAATTAAGTTCACATGGGTGTAAGTTTCTGCTCATGTATATTGTGATTTTGATAAGATACATTACCTTCTAATTACCTATAATAAAAGAGGTATGTTTGTATTTTGTATAATGTTTTGTAAGATGTTTGTGTATAATGAATTTACAATATTTATAAAGTTATTTCTTTAATAAGAGAAACGTCCATAGTTCGTAATATCAAAATATTGAGAATTTACTTAACATTACTTAATTTAGGTATAGCGTTATTTTATAATATTTTTATATACTTATAAATATAATTATGAAGAAAAATAGAAGGAGTTTGACAATAAAACTATAAAAATCTAATTTTATGTATTTTTTTTCTTATTTTTTATCAGCCCCTCTTAATCCTTTATTTTTATCTGTTAACTTTGACTATTTCGGAAAATCTGCGGTACATACCTCAGTGGGGCAGTAAGGGGAAGACCTTATGGTGGGGTAGCTCTTCTATGGAGAAAAGCGGTTTTTACATCCGTTTCTGTTATATTGAGTGATAAGTGTGAGTGATGGCGTAGCGGCTATTAGGGCCGATCCTCATTATAATGCCGTTCACAGTTCGTTTTCGGTTCGACGATCTCGGTCTGATAAAATATTATCAAGTAAAAAATATGTGTGCATCCATACTATCCGTAACAGTCAAGTTTCGGTCAAATCCCATTCCATTACAATAAATCAGACCGAGATCGGACCGAGAACGAACTGTGAACGGCAAATGAGGATCGGCCCTTAAAGTGACTTGCACTGATCGAATCATGTTATTGTTTAGTGTATACATGCCAACTTATTCTCTTGATAATTAAAATGAAGTTTATGAGTTCCTTATTGAAATAGCGGCTATTGTTGAGAGACCAAGACTAAGACTGCCTCCTTGGTCTAGTGGTTGTAGTAGTGCGACTGCTGATCATGAGGTCCTAAGTTCGAATCCCGGGTCGGGCCAAAAAATCAGTTACTGAGTTTTTTGTCCAGAAATACTTAGTAGCTGCCCGGAGTCAGGAAGTTGGCGGTGTCTCACCACCGTGCCTCGGAAAGCACGTTAAGCCGTTGGTCCTGCGCCTGATCTCTCTTCGGTCGTGTCGGTTTACCGTCCCACCGGATTATGAGAGTTAGGGAATAGAGAGTGCACCTGTGCTTGCGCATACACTTGGGCACTATAATCCTGTCCTGCGCCGATGGCTAGCCTCCGTTGAGGCAGGCCGCCGTGACCGAAATTCGGTCTGGAGGACATTATTATTGTTGAGAGCATGAATGTTGAGCATGTATATGTAATCGGAGATTTTAACTCACGCCCTGGTGAATTATTTAGTCGGGAATTGTTAGATTTTTGTGATGCATAGAGGTGGCGTTGTGCCGATTATGTTAAATTAGGTATGGATTCTGACATATACCTTTGTCGGTAATGTTTGTAGAAGCAGACAATAACTTGACCATTGCGTGGTATCTGAAGTGGCATGGAAAACAATAGAAATATTAGAAGTTTATCGAGATGTTTTCTGGTCTGACCACTTTCCAGTTGCTATTCAGATTTACATTGTAATGGTTAGGCTGACATTCGTATCAGTAAAACAGGACAATACGATGAGTGTTAAAGTTGTGTGGGTTAATAGGAATGTATAGTCCGGACGCGAAGAAGGAAGAATTTCGTACGTTAACCTTTTATTACCTGTCTCTGTCACTCTCGCGTAAATAAAAAGTGATTCGCTCGCACAGATGCAATGACCGCCGTCCTCAGTAATTGTAAACCTTTTACCTGAGACTGTAAGTTTTGTTGTTGTTTGCATGTGGTTTTTGTTAGTCTTGAGGCACGACCAAAAATCCTTGACTTGCTTGACATAGTTAATAATTTTTAAATAACGAACAAACGATATTCCATCTTGGATTGCATTAGTGATCGCTCAGTTTTCGGACACAGTTATCTATTCTTAGTTTGTTGTTGTTTGTTTAATGTAGACAAACTGTTGATTCTTTTGTAATAAATGTGACAGGCGGGACGTCATAGGAAAGCAGTAACTCCGATATAGAGAAATCAGATTCTGATTTTTAAATTTTTATTTCTGCTAAATTAGCAATTTAACTAGATTTTATAATTGTTTTTATACTAAAATCAAAAAGAAAATATAATACCAATAATTTATTTAATAGGATAGTAACTTTATTTTTTTATTCTTCAAATATTTCATATGAACCCTTCGCTGAACACAAAAATGCTTGTAACCACTGTCAGTAGGCAAAGAAGTCATTGTATGAAATTCTTCCTGTTCCGCGACTGTATTTTACCACAAATTGGCTGTTACTATAAGTTGTGCATGGAGAAACTTAAACAGACTTCCCTTCTCAACTAAGGCTAAACTAACTGTTGTGATCATTTCTGTCATAACAAAGATTTTAGAGACTAATATGTTCGTAAAATTACAAAATGGTGATAAGAATTGCTAATTACAAGCCTCCAAATATTACTTTCATCCAACTTTATACAAATCTAAAATACTCCTGGGAATACTTAAACTATTAACAAAAACAATAACAAAAAAAATGAAAAATATTAACAAGAAAAAAAAAACGGTGTAGTTTAACTTGTCGTGATACAAAAAAGCTTGCAACTTGAGTCATGCTAATCGCGGCTTTGAGTGGAAAATTCTCTGGTCATCACTTGTTTTACAGATTTCGAACTAGTAGAAAATAGGTCAATATCTACTACAGATGAAAGCTTATTAAATTCCATTGCGGTACGCAGAAAGAAGGAATTTCTTCTATAATTCGTCGGAAGCAAGAGGTATATATAGCAACGGTCGTTGTCTAAATCTCATTAAATCGGTCCGAATCATCATGTGTGTAAGTAACTCAGAAGAGTCAAGAGATCCATTTACTATACTAACTAGGAAACAAATATCATCGACTTTACGTCTAAGTATATACCAACGGCAAAAAAGAAAAGAGCCTACCCCTAAGGCCGGCAATGCATCTGCAATTCTGTTGTTCATGGGAGACGGTAATCACTTACCATCAGGTGAGCCGTATGCTCGTTTGCCCCCTCTCCTATTAAAAAAATCATATCTCCTACATCTTTCAAGATTGGCTGAATTTTTTGTGCCTTCAAGTCAAGGTATCTCAGAATTTTTTTTGTATACTTTGAATACGAGATATGTAAACTTTATATTGTAGATTCCATACTTGGGATGCTTATTCTAAAAGGCTACGCACATATGAGCAATATAAAATCTTAAAAGCTTTAAGAGAGCGGAAGCAGGCTGAAGTTCAAGAGCCTTTGCTTTGTTGACAATATATACAATGTATTTGTCGACCACCAATTTACTATCATGTATTACGCCGAGATCATGAATATGATTTAGCATGCTGATAGTCTGATTATGAAGAGTATGACCGAACCCAATACTAGATCTTTGTCGTGTGATTGTTATATGAGAACATTTGGAGATATTCAATTGAAGTTTATTAAGTTTACAGTAATCAGAAACAAGGCCTTCTTGAAATTGTTTAATTTCTGTTAGATTATGAATAGTTTTAAGAATTTTCATGTCATTGGCGTAAAGTAGTATGAGAGAATTTTTAAAAATATGACATAATAACGGCAATAAATATTGCGAATAAGAGGGGGCCAAGTAATGACCCCTGAGCAACACCAGATGGAGTTGAGCACCAAACAGACATGTAACCACGCAAAATGCTGTGTCCGATTCTATACGAGAGTGACACCGAAATGTTTTAGAACTGGCCACTTATAAACGATTAATAAAAAATAAGTTCAAATTTTGAAAATGGAACTCTTTGCCAATATTGTTGTGTATGTATTTTATTATTTTGTCATTTGTTTACGATTTGGCGGCAAATGGAAAATTGTCATTTCTCCAGTAAGTCTAATCTCATCTAATGGGTATATTTTCCTTTACGCCGGTACCACTGTTTAGCCCAGATTATCCTTTTTGCTCTCCTTTTTAATATTATTGCCATAATGATAGCCACACAAGCTCTTTCTTCATTTCAGTCCATTTTAAATATGTCTGCACTTAACAGTTTTGTGCCCAATACTGACGTGATCCGTATGAACGTGTAGGGTGTGTCAATATGGATCGCGATACGTCATTCCAGATCGTGTTTAAATATCACGCGTGTAGCTTCGCCACACAAAACGATTGGTCGTTGCGATGAATAATTTACTTGTTTGAAATGGAACAACAAAGACTTTCATCTTAGACAGAAATTTGTACTTATAATTAATTACATGCCATATTTTAAAAAAGAAAAGGAGCTTCTTTTCTATGCCTATTTGGCGATAAATTTAATCCGGCTACCTAAAAAAAACGCCGAAAAGTGTAGATGTAGATGGCTATTAAAACGACATCAATATTTGCATATAAATATTTTAGGATAGGATTATCAGAATGAAAGAACCGACGAATACAGCATCATTCGCAAAGATCACCTGGGTTTTCGTTGCGATTTTACATACACTACAGATCCGTCACGTCGATCAATCTGAATCGACCGTATATGGA